CGCCAGCAGCCTTCTCCTTGTGAAAAGGGGAAACTGAGGCACGGGCAAAGGGCCAGCGGGGCAGAGGAAGCCTGTGCGAGGTGAGCTCAGGGTGCAACTCCTCTGCATCCACCCCCAGGCGCAGAAACGGGGCAGGAAAGAAGGATCTGCCCTCCTGTACTCACAGGCACCTCAGAAAATCAAGGGGTTTGAGAATTTGTTGATCATTTTGAAATCAAAGGGTTTCTGATAAGCCAGCAAGTGGCGCCGGCCAAGCAACGCCCAGGAGTGTCCCAACCCGGCCAAAACCCACCCGCTCGGAGCAGTAACCCCTCTGCCAGGAAATGGTTTTTACTCACGTGTGCATACAAAGTTCACCCAAACCCAGAAAACGCAGAAAACCCAAACTTCTCTCTCCCGTCTTTTCTTTATGCTTGACCACTGCACCTCTGGCTGTCACAAGCCGTCACCTAACACGGGCCCTAAGGCAGAGGGGGCATTTCATACCCTCTGGGGGCGTTTTGTACCCTCCCAGGGTGTTTCGTACCCTCTCCCGGGACATTTTGTACCCTGCCGGGGTGTTTCGTACCCTGCCTGGTGCTGCACGTCCACCTCCCGCGATGCTCGTGCTTCCTGAGGATGTAACAGCAAGAACAGGTCACATTCCCAAGCTGAAAAGTTGCAGTTCAAGCACAGTAATGGAAAGACAGCGAGACCCCCCCGCCGGGCTGTGCAGCCAGCTCCGGTGGCTTGGGCAGACCCCCGGAGACCCCACACTGGTCACAGCAGCGTGCCGGGGGGGCCAGGGGCACTGCGCTGCATAATCGGCACACGCCAGCAGCAGCCCATGCATAAAACATAAACCACAGGTCACCGAGCAGAGTTATGCTTCAAATTTGGGGGTTTTTTTTAGTTTTATTTCAGAGGAGAGGCAAGAGGGAAGGATGTGGGGGAAGGCTGGGGGAGCAGGGAGAGGGGCTGCGGGGGAACAGAGAAGGGGATTGCATGGGGAGAGATGCACGAGGTTGACCCAGCGCAGAGGATCTGGCTCTGGCAGCTCCTGGAGATGTTCCTCCCCTGCTGCTGCCAGCTGCCTCCAGCGCAGCAGCTCCTCAAACGCTGGTCACCGAGCAGCGGCTCCACACAGTCCCAGCTGGACCCCGTGTTGTCCCCGCTCACCGCCGCTGCCACAACCTCCCCTGGGGCAGCAGAGTTGCTCCTGCTGCATGTGACAACTGGCACAAACCCAGTGCCGCTTGGGGTCTGCTCCAGGTTCCTCCAGCCTCCGGGCAGAGCCTCTTCCAGGAGGAACGGAGGCAAAGGGGAAGAGGGTCCCCCTGCTGCAGGGTACGACCCCGAGCAGTCCCCGTGGTTTCAGAGGCACTACTTGATTCAGTTTTTCCAAACCACGACCGGAAACCGGGCTCTTTGTGGCAGATCCCTCGGCAGAGCCAACACGCAGCTTGGGAACACTTCTCAGCAATGCAGGGAGCCCCAGAGCAGGCACCCCCAGAACAAACATTCCAGCTGCCTCCATCAGAGCAGCACGTGGACCCCGCGCAGGACCAACCGTGGGGCAACGTCCAGAACCGCTGACTGCTCGGCTTCCTCATCCCCTCCCAAGACCTCCAGCAGGCACAGGTTCTGCCGGGGGGCACATTTTCCCTGAGGATTTTTAAGGAGAAATTGGCACCAGGGGCTGGGTTAGCCGGAGCACTGCCCTTGCCTCCAGCAAGGTGGGATTTGTGGAGCGGACTCCACGGAATTTGGCCACCGACAGGACAAGGATTACTGGCACCGAGAGGGGAAAGGACCCCGTCCTGCTCAGCTGCTGAAGCTCTCCGTGTATCCAGGGCGCTTTAATTGCAAACGCACCATGGTTCCCTGAGCGAGCTGCTGCACGGCAGGGAAGGGTGCATCGGCTGGGGAGCCCCGCTCGGCTCCTGCGGCCTCTGGGAGCCCACATCCTCTGCGAGAAAAACAGCGTGGGCTCATCACATGTGCCGTGACGCGCTCGGGGAAAAGCGCAGCAGTGGCAGAGCTGCAGCCGTGCAAGGAGCGCACATTCGGGAGCGAGCAGCACATCCCTGCGCCGAGCAGCGGGGCTCGGGAGCAGCGACAGCCCGGCGATCCGGCGGGAGCTGCCGAGGCACCGGCACTGCCCGGAGGCTCCATCCTGGAGAGCTCGCTGGGCACCCAGAGCTGCAAACCAATCTGTTTGTTAACTCAGCTCCAGGGCTTGCAGGAGGTCTGGGGATTGTTAACACAAGAGTTAATGACAGCGTTTACACTTTCCCTGTACTCTGGGATGGGGGAGTTGTGCTTTAGTAGGCGAGCTTTAATTAAAACCAAAGCAGGGGCCTGAAAACAAAACTCAAATGAGATTTTTGCCTACGCAGATGAGAAAGCTCGAGAAGCTCCAGCAAAAGCACAGCCGGGAGTCGCTGGTTCCCAGGGCTGCAGGCAACCACCCAACATCTCTGTAAGCAAAACGTCCCTCCCTGGTTTTAAAGAGAGTTGCAACCATTTAAATATCAGCACAAACCCTTCCTGATGGGCGCTCTTCCAGGAGCTCCAGCCCGCACAGCTCTTCCGGCCTCGCAGAGATGCTCCTTCCCGTTTCGGATAACTTCATGCCAGCAGGCAGCGCCGGACACACAATAGCTGCTGTGCTCTTTTTTTTTCTCCTGACCTCATATAACCTTCAGCATCGGCATCCTGCCCCAGACCTCAGGAGCAGCCCAGCCCTCTCCTGCCACTTGCTGCTGTCCCTGTGTGTCACTTCTCGGAACCAGGTCCCACCCCCTGGCAGCACTGGGATGCTGCACCCGTGGGTGCCGGGAGATTGGGCAACCAGCGGGTGCCACCTAGTGGCCCCAGCACCCGGGGGCTCGGCTGGGGACATCCCCAGGGACCCAGTGTGTCCCTTTGGAGGTGGCAGCTTCCCTTGTCTCAAGCACCAGCCAGGCTGGAGGGAGACGGACATTGACAGGAGGCAGGAGGGTGAAGCCAGTCGCTGCCCCAGCCCTTCGACCGGTGAAAACGTGGGCTGCGAGGGTGGAACCGCGTGTTCCCCTTCTCCAGCCTGACAGCTCTCAAGGCACCTGAGCACAAGGCTCAAACGAGAAAAGGAAAATCGGGTTCCTGCCGCAGCAGAGGGGAAGGAAGTTTGCTCAACCAAATCCACCCTCCTTGGTGTAGGGAGTTCTCACCACTGCACACCGCAGCTCCCCGAGGCCCTCACCCTCCTCCACAGCCCACTAATGTTCAAAACTCTGGTTTCAGTCTTGCAGCCGCGCACAAAACAGGGATTGCAGCCATCTTCCCACCCAGCCAGGGCTGTTGGCTCGGCTGTTCTGGGCCCCAGCCGTCAGGAGCCGGCAGATCCGGAGCACGACTGCAAAAGGAACGCCAGCGGGGAGCCGACGCTGTGCACCAAAGCCAGAGGGGTTTCAAAACGTTTTGGCTTCCCTCCTGCCCTGCTCACCCATTTGCAAGGAAGTTACGCAAGAACTCAAAGGTCTGCGCAGCAACCAGCCAGGCCTTCGCCCTCACACCATGCTTGGTGCAAGCTCGGGGCACACGTTGTTCCCAGCGCTGTCACCTCCTGCCCCTCACCGCTGCTCGCTTCTATCCCAGCAGGAGCAATGCCTTGCTTCCAAAAACAACACTGCGGAACACCCAAAACTGCCCCAAAGCTCAAGCTGCTCAGGAAACGGCTGCTGGAGGGGCAGCGTGCCTGTCACAGCCTTTCCTTGGTTTGCTTTCTTCAGCACCCTGGTTCCCAGCTCCATCAGCGGCCGAAAGCTCTCAAACCGTTAAATAGTTTGGATCTCTTTCCTCCTTCCTGGGAAACACCAGCAACTGCAGTGAGGATCCCCAGTCTGGATGGTCCCCAGTGCCACAGTGAGCTGCCAGATCCACTGGTATGAGCTTGGCTCTAGGTAAAAAAAAAAAAAACCTTAGGGGAAATTGCTCATGATTTGCTGCGTTTGGACGATGCTAGTAGTTAAGACTCGTCCTTCCTGCAGGCTCTCAGCTCTTTGTCTTATGTCATTTTAGCACCTCCTCCCAGCAGAGACGGAGAGCACTGTGATCCTGCTGGGATTGTTGGCACAATCGTACTTTAAATTAGTCCCAAGAGCATTAGTTTAAGCCCAATTCTTTGCCAAAAGCTCCCTGCTCCATCACACTGTTGGAATGAGGTCACACCACGAGTGAAGTGGCCTGGGTTAATAACCAGAAACATGTTACGATGCAAAAGGAGATTGGAACATAAACTACCACCTCATCTCTTCCCAGAAAGCCACCAGCTGCTGTAAGCCGACTGTTTTGTCACAGCTTGCTTCTCTTCAGGGCTGAAATGCAGAATAGTCAGTATGGCAGTGAGAGTCTGCTGGCGCCCCAGAGAATCTGGCAGTGTCAAAAATCTATAGACAATGTTTTTGAGGTATTCCAGGTTGGCTCCCTCCCTGCTCTTGTCTCTGAAGTTCTTCTCGATTTCGCTCTGAAGAGCGGATACCTCTTCCTGGTGCTTCTCTTCTTCAACCAAGATTTTCTCCTGCAGCTGGTGAACTTGCATTTCCAGCTTGTGCTTCTGCTTCCTCAGCGCCGCAATTTCCACTTCTTTGCGAGCCAGCTGCTCCGCATACAAGAAGAAGGTGGGCTCGCTGGTGGCGGAGAGATGAAGAGCCTGGGGGAGAATCTCGGAGGAATCGTTACCTGGGGAGCTGTTGCTTGCAGTGTCGGTCCCTGACGCGAGGTAGTTTTTGGGTCCTTGAAGCCCGTAAGGCAATGCGATGGATCTCAGCTGCTCCAGCTCTTGGTCCTTCTCTGCCAGCACCGCCAGCGCTCGGTCCCGCTGCTTGTGCATCTCCTCCTCCAGCTTCAGAGCCCGTTCCCTGTACTCCAGCTGGCAGCGCTCCAATTCCTGCCTGTGGACCTGCTGCAGCTGCGACAGCTCTTGCCTCTTGGCTTCCATGGCTTGCTGGTGCTGCTTCTCCATCTCGTCAGCGGACAGCTGAAGCACGACGTATTTCTCTTTCAGGTCAGCCAGCTGCTCCTGAGCTTCCTCCAGTTCTTTAGCCACATTACCGTCTTTGGCCGACTTGTTCTTGAGAACCACTTGAGCCCTCATCTTGTACCTTTCAAACTCTTCCTTCAGCTGCTTCAGCTCCTGCTGGTAGTACAGAGCGGTGGCCTTCTCGCCGTCCCCAGCCTCGGTGCCCTTGGGCAGCTCCAGCTCACACAGCTTCTCAATGTCCAGAGCGGGCTGGCTCTTCTTTGCTGCCGCCTGCAAGAGCTTCTTCAGCTTCTCCATCTTATCCTTCAGAACATTAACATCAAGATTGGCTTCTTCCACGTGCATATCGACAGGGGATCGGCTGGAGGCGGCGATGGCCAGGGTTTTGTTCTCCAGGTCCAACTGGACGATGCGGTCCTTGAGCTTCTGAATGACCGCTTGGTCCTTCTGCTTGGCTTTTTCGTAAGTGCCGAGCAGTTCCGACACTTCGGAGACTTGTCCCTCCAGGTCGGCCACGCGCCGCTCCTCCATCTGGGCGTGCTGGCGGAGCTGCTCCTCTGCCTGCGCTGTCTGAGAGCAGAGAGACAGGGAGGGTTAGGTTAGCTCCGCGCTCAGGGCAGGGGGGCTGTGGTTTACACGGGGGCATAATTCTGCTCTGCTCAGCTCCAAAAAAGTGCACGGCCGTCCTGTTCCCGAGAACCCCATACAAGCCACAGCACCTTTTGGGATATTTGTTTATTTCGGGATAAAATAAACTAAAAGCATTGTTGCTTTTGTTCCCTGCTCTGCAGAGTTCCTGGGACCAGCACTATCCGCACTGCTGGAGGTGTGCGGGGAGGTGGGAAACACCAAACTCACGTCACAATCTGCTACAGATTTTTTTTTTTAAAGCTCTAAAGCTTTCACACATCTAACTGCAATTTACTTCAATGCTACGCTTCGCTGCACGGATATTAACAGAATTCAGTGGTTTCTGAGTAGCTACAGCAAACACCTGCTGTTCACAGCTTTTACAGCCATCGAGGTCCGACTTGCGGGTACTCTGGACAAGAGCAGCACCTGACAATCACCATCATCAACCAAAACCCAGCCAGAGTCAGGCCACCCTCACCCCCACCGAGAGAAGCTGTGAGAGACCACTTCTGTAAATCACATTAAACCATCCTGATGCTTCAGATGAGAAAGAAGAAAACTTGTTCCAGAGTGCATGGAGATGAGGAAGATCCCACTCCAGAGTGTTTCCCGACGCAAATTCTGCTCCTGGTGCCAGCCCCACACATTGCCCTGCAGCCTGCAGGGTTACACTGGTTCCTCTTTTCCAGCCCACCCCCTTTCCAGCTCTTGGCTCTCCCCCTGCACGCACTCAGGCAGAGCCTTTCCCCTCTATTTACCTTTTTTCTTTCTTTTTAGGAGCTCCTGTGTCGTACCCTGCATTGTACCTGGGGTGAGGCAGAGGAGAGGCCTCTCCTCCCACGCTCAGCCACTGTCACACCCGACGGTAACATGTCCAGAACTAAGTGACACCGCAGAGGACAGTCACCGTATCGTCACCCCAAAGGCTGCTCCCAAACCCGACGGTCACCGCTCCCGGGTTAACATGACGTATACACTGAATCACAAACAGCTCTTACCCTCCTTGGGGACTATCACCCCACCAAAGCCATGATGCTCTCACCTATTTCAAACCTCTCGCACTCTGGGGGACCGGGAAGGGGAATTTGTGCTCCTCCAGCCCCAAACCCTGCCCCAGCCACTGCCGAGACATCCCCCAGAGCGAGCTGCTCTGGGACCCGGACAGGGAATTACCTTCTTCATTTCTTGCAACAGCTGCACTTGGAAGTGGTTCTTCAGGCTGGCCATCTCCTCCTGCAGATCCTGTATGCGGGGATCCGGCTGCTTGTTCTCCTCCTGCACAGCCTGAAGCTCTTTCTTCAGGTCTTCCACCTCCTGGCTCAGCTGCTTGATCTGCAGCTCGTACCCCTCGGCGCGGTCGGCCACACACGCTCTCCCGGCCAACACCTCCCTGGTCTCCTCCAGCTTCAGCTCCGCGTCCTGCCGCAAAGTCCTCTCGTTCTGCAGCAGCTTCTGCAGCTCTCGCAGCATGACAGCGTGGTCACCCTGCTCCTGGGCTCGGTCGTGCTGCTGCGTGATCAGACGAGCTTTGGTCTCAGCTAGCTGTTCCTGGACAGACTTCAGCTCCGTCTCCAACTTCTCAGTCTCGTCCTCTGCTTTCTTCATGGCGTCATCCAGGTCCTGCTTCATCTTCTTCTTGTCTGCTTGGTAGGAGGCTTCCATGCGGGACTTCTCCTGCGTGACTGTGGACAGAGCAGTGGTCAAGGTGGCCAGCTGAGTCTTCAGCTGGAGCACTCTCTTATCAGCCTCGCCAGCTGACACATCCCCGCTGCTCGTGCTGACGCCGCTCTCCGAACCACTCGTCTCTTCTGATTTAAGAGAGGAAGCGGCCGCCACAGACTTGTCATCCTCAGGCCCTGCTTCGCCCTTGGTACTGGCCAGACTGGCAGCAGTGTCGGCACTGGTAGCTGTCCCCACGCTGTCCTCGCTGTGAACCGAGCTCCTGTCATCGGCAGAATCGGCAAAGGAGGAGCTGGAGCTCGGCACAGGCTGAGCTCCACTCAAGCCAAGATCTGCCTCGTGAGACACCGACAACACTTTCAAGCTGGCTTCCAAGGCTTCCTTCTCCTTCAGGAGGCTCTTGTAGGCTCTGACAACATCCTTCAGCCGAACCTGGTACTGAAGCAGCTGCTTCTTCTGTGACTCAATAGTCTCCAGAAGATCTTTTTTACTGGGGCCACCTCCAAAGTTCATGCCAAACTTCTCCATGATTCACAAAACCTGAAAGGAAAAGAAAGGCTCAGCGAGCAGCACAGACACACCTACCGTCAGCAGGAGCACATGGCTGAGAGGGACCCCCACCCCGAGCCCCCCAGGACACCACACAGTTAATGACTCTGTAACGGGGTCTGTCATCACACACCAAAACC